CTCAGTTAAAGGGGGTGACGAGACAATTGAAGGTGTCATCTAATTATTTTAGCCCAGCGCTACGCAAAGCCACTCCAGTACTGGAATCCCAGGCCTTGGCTAGGGCAACATGTAGTAAATGGGTTAAAGCAGCGGGGGTGATGCAATATGTGGCTCTCCTGGAGACATTCCCCAACCTCTAGCATCTTTAAAATGAATCAAGAACCTGCAGGACTGCGATTTGATTAGATAGAAAATAAACGCAGTGTAAGGTAAATCAAATCAGCTACTTTATATGCATGTTTACAGGGAGGATGTTTCCTCTAAGGTCAGTTACTATACAGGATTCACTCCCCTCTATTCGGCTTCTGAGAGTGGGCCAGAGCACCCAGAGCTGCAGCAAAGAAAGAAGCGATCCCTGACTTGTGAATCATCCAAATGCAATTTGCTTATCTTCAGTCCAAGCCGGTCAAGGTAACTCAGCACTGAGGAGTCAAAAATGTGCAGATTTATACCAGGAGGACTCTAGCTGAAGTCCGTTCTGCAGCCAGGTTGTTCCCTTGTTTGTAAATTAGCTGTGAGTAATGAATCCTGGGAAGCTGCCCTGCTGCAGGGTTTGCTCCCTTGCTGCCGGACCCTTCCGCGCTCCCCCGTTGACATTGCCTTCCCAAATCTGTCCTGATGTTCCTTGTCTGTCAGGAGCCGCCCCGGGGGGCAGCAGGATAACCCACTATGGTCTGCCCCCGTTCCTTCTCTGGGCCCAAGCCAGCTGAACCGTGTAAGTCCCTGCCATTGCAAACATGGTGACCCCAAACAGGATTGACAGATCGCAGACCGTGGATGCTCGGCCACCAGTCTGAAAACATCATTTTTGACTGGTGGTTCAAAGCTATGAGTGTGAAGTGGTCACATTGACAGTCTGGGATTGTTGAAAATAAGACAACACTGGAAAGACTGGACAGAAAACCCAGATTATGGTGGATTTATGTGGGTGTAAACAACTGTTTATCAGAGGAAAATGCTTATAAATTCACTTTACAGTTCGCTGGATTCCCCTGTTCCCTGTACTGCAACACTTATCCTTCTGACTGCAAAAAAAAAAAGCCCTGGCTATGACTACCCCATGGGTCCCCAAGCACACATTAGAGAGCCTGGGGGGTCCCTAAGTGTCACCCATGAAATCAGGATGTTAGGGTATGAAAAACAGGGGAGGGACCGCTAGTAATTCTCATTATTGTTGAATGTTCATCGTCCCTGGTGTTGACTTTGCCTTAGTCTGGCTCTGCTACCACGGCACAACACAACCACGATACCCGCCGCCAGTTTAAAAAGCCTCAGATGTGTGCGTGGGGGGGATCTTCTTAAATCCTGGTGTGACCCTAAATTAATTACAACAAGATCTGACCATTAGGGGTAGCAAATTTTCCTCTCCAATGCTTTTTCTTATAATTGTCATAAAGCAGCTTTTGAAACATGAATAATTAAATGGTATAAATGCTAAATTTTCTAATTCTAAAGGTCAATAGCAATTTGTCTGCAATTAATGTAAAGAAGAAACTGCAGGGTACCTGTGTGGCCCTGTATTCCTCGCATTTGACTGGCAGAGAGAAAAGAACTTCTCAATGGCAGAATTTTGACGTCCATAATGGCTTAATGTCTACGTGTGACAGAGATATTGGGGGAAGAAGAGTGACTCTTTGCGCGCTGGCGTGGCCCAGAGGCTTTTGCTGTCACAGCTGATGACAGTAACTTTCTCCATGCAGATTAAATTGGTGTTTACAGATTTGCCCTGGGTGTACAGTTTTCCCCCTGCTGGGCTTCACTGGCTGATGATGAGACCGACCGTTTTCGACACTGACGCTTATGCTTCCATCACACTGAGCAGTGGCTTACCAGGCATCCAGCCCTACTCCACTGTCACATTTTCTGCAAATGTAAATAGCTGGTAATGCTGTACCATTTACTGTGTGACTGCTGCCACTCCTTTCATGCTGTATTTGCAGCTTGGCGCAGCAAGATGAAATACTGAAGAGAAAATAAAACATTATCAGCCGTGATGTTGATGCTCCAACCAAAGGTCTCATAGTGTTACAATAGATATCAATGACTTCTTGGTGTTGTTGTACTGCCGGAGTTGTTACAGCTGGTCGGTAAGAATGTGCTCAAAGTTTAAAGACACAGTGGGTTGTTTTTCCAGATGCTTTTTTCTTCTTCTTGGGACCCCACTTCAAAAGCAGTGGAACTTGAGCCATCGCAGAGAAAAGTTTGGTTTTTCAGTGTGTGAATCACATAAAGAAAGGAATGTGGATACAACCAGAAATCCTCTTCATGTGAAAAAGGGAAAACTATTTTTTTTGTATAACACCTACTTGTTAGTAGTTCTGCTCAAACTGCCTCTCTCACTCTGTGAAACACTTAGTGTAATAAGGTTAAAGCTATTGTCCCATTGGTGCAATACAAAATATTAAGTAGTTTGTTACATGTAATTTGCATTGATTAAACTTTTAGCATGCAGTTGTGGAGCAGGGAATGCTGATTGCCTTGTATGCTTGTGTTTGAAGGGCACTTTGTTACTGCAAATTAAGTGTAGGGAAAAATCAATAAATCAGTCATTTTGAATATAAAAACCTTAATTTTGTATGTTGATCTTGTTTCTTTTTAGGTGCAGAAACACACATGCACCTGGGTGAAAACTGAGTATCTTTTATGAAGAGAGTTGTCATTAGGATATAACTATTTAAACTACACTATCTTCCTAGCGCATGTGTCCATAGATGAGCAGTGACTATACAGAGCAGCATCTATATGTGTATTCATTTCAGGTGGTAAACAGAAGTCTCTGACACTGGGTTGTTATCGAGTTGTGGCCCCCGGCGCAGGATTGATCCACTTCAGTCCAGCAGCAGGGGGGCGGGAGCTCTGGAGGGGCTCAGCGGGGCTCCAAATCAATAAGGTTAATAGATGTGGGGGCCACGCAGTCAGAGGTGTGCAGCCTGGCATTTTCGGTGCCAATGAGGAAAATTCCTGATGACGAGGTGTCTCTTTTGGAGCCTGCATTAATGTCAGTCTGATTACCTGCAGCCAGTATGTCACATACAGTGGGGCTAGCAGAGCCTCCTTCGCTGGCCATTAACTGGAATTAGCTTTACAAGGAGACCCTTCAGTTTGAAGACTTTAACATGCCACCTTTTCATCCGCTATCCATTGAGAACAAATTGCCAGCCCCCTCCCCTCCTTTGCTTCTGGCTCTATTCTTTCACCCTGATTTCTATAATGCCAACAGTTACATAATCACTTGATGAGTAATTTCCTGTCATTTGGGATTTGGAGAGAGAGGTTTCATTAAGAAGTTCCTTTTTTTTTCACGTCAGGCTTTCATTTTTACAGTATTACCCCCATCACATCTACAAAATGACAAGGGGGAAAAAACGACTTAAAAAAAGAAAAAACATTTTAAAAAAAAACGTCAAGAGCAAATGTGAGCATGGCTAAAATCTTGTTTAACTAACTAAATGGAAATCAAACTTATAACCTTGTTCTATAGCGGCTACGCTGAATTTCTCACTATTATTTATTTTGTGGACAATAAGCTAACAGTTCACAGTAAGTCTTTTGTAAATTTTCCTCACACAGAAAGTTTGTGCTTAGCTTTCCCACACTGTGATACCCACTAGACTATTAAGATTTCTGAATGGGGCCCTTCAGTTCTCCAGACTTACAGCATAGTTTGAATAGCCGAATGCAAATGAGGAGCTTGCTGATCTGTTCTCTCAGTACCTGCCTAATGTCTATACAGAAAGCCAAATGTCTGAGTGTGTTTCTTTCTGTGTGTGTGTGTGTGTGCATGGTAGATGGTAGACAGAGAGGTGGAGGCCGGCCGGTGCCACACCTGCAATTAGCCATGCACCTGCATTAGCTGAATTAACGTGTGCAAGGAGAAGTCATGCCGTTTTCACTCCCCTTAACGCCCCCTAAACAAAACAGTGAAGTCATTGGAAATAAAAGAATCAGTTGTCTCCTTTCCTCCCCCTTTCAAAAGGTCCCTTTGCATAGGAAATCAGTTGTCTCTCCCTTCACGAACATCCTGCAGTGCGGACTCCCATAGAAATGAGTTTTGGCATTGTTGTGCCGAGGAACTCCCCCTTTAATAAATTGAGGAGGATTAAGGGAGAAGAATGTAATAAAGGAGAGTCATTTCATCATGACAGTCCATTTTAAGACGGGGGTTGGGGCAGCCGGAGATTTAAAGGATAATCAGGCCGGGTTTATTTCCATAACATGCATTACAATCTGTTTCTTTGAACTTTGCTGCCACTTAGGTTACTAGATATGAAGGAGGAGGAAAAAAATACACATTATTATCAAATGTTTAGTGTTTGAGGCTTGAAGGACGTATCAGAGACATCTGAGTGAGTTATTAAATGCGTTTTGGCTCTTAAAGATTATAACGCATTAATCTAAGGACTTTGAAGTGAGGATATGTGCATGTGTGTGCGTTTTCTGGTAGGAATAAAGCATGTTTTGCGGTCTCATCAGGGATTTGTGGGCTTTTTGTGGTAGCTGTGATCTGTGTTGCCTGATTTAGTGACATTTCCTTGAAAAATCTGCAGTATAAATTGCATTATTTGGGTATTTTTGGTGAAATACATCAATTTTTAAGGGGTGTGCAGAGCCTGTATGAAAACATTGATAAAAAATAGGAAGTTACTCTTACATTGTTATGTAAGTAAAGTCCATGTCATGTTTTTGATTCATGTTATTGAACTAAAACTGCAAAGTTGTGTTTAATTTGTGTGGAAATTCCAGGTGGTCATGTATGCTTTTACTTTGAAACACACTCCTGCTTCTGTCCTTGACTTTTTTTTATGCAAAGAATTTTTATGTTGTGTTCAAATGAGGAGGATCCTCAAGTGCAGAGCCATCTTGTTCACTCTTATCATGCAGCCAATTTACTCCACGTATGGTTTCAGTTCTTATTGATCACCAAGTCAGCTTCCAGCCAGCCCCTCCTGCCTGTTTGTTTAGTCTCTGTATGTGATTGGAAACACTTCAGAAACGGTGACCAGCAGCAGGTGAGGGGTGCCTGCACTTTGAAGTCCGTGCTCCTTATTGATCCTGTGCATATCCTAAAAAAAATCAAAGAGGGCATCAAAGGCATAGCTAAACTCTTAAAGACTCTGCACGCACCCAAAAAAGGGCACTGATGACAGCGTGAACAAGCAAAGCAGGTGGTGGCTGCTGGTTAGAGCGCTAACCCTTCCAACCCCCGTCACGCCCCAGACAGACGGCTGAAGGCTTCTATTTTAATGTCGGACAACAGTGTGGCTCCTGCTTTGACTGGCACTTGTCTCCCATTAGAGATGGTGGAGAGATGCAGCTTGGGGAGATCTTCAGTTCAATTAATTAGTCTACTAAGCCAACATGCTGCAGAGACTTGACTGCAAAGAAGAAATCGTTAGGATAAATCAGCTGGAGCAATTAGTCCATCATTTGTGTCATCACACAAATATCATGAAAAGCTCTTAATCCCTCAAATTCACAATAAAAGAAAATATCTGGGCCTTACACATCAAGCTTGGTGGGTATAAATGCCTAACCCTAACCCTCTATAAATGTAAAGGATGTTTGTCTTAAACTCCTGGTCTACTGCACTGAATGATAATATTTGCAGTGGACAGCACTTCCGATCTAAAAACAGATTTGGGCATTTTGAGCAATACATACACCGACAGTCCTACAGATCATTTACATGCACAGTACAGGGCTAGACAATATGATAGTGGAGCTACTGATTAATATTGGCACACTCGCAACGTCTGCACATAGAGATCAGTATTATTCATCCAGCTGGAAGACTGGCTTGTTTTTGTAGATCAAATCAGTTTTTGATTCTTGTAGCTTGTACTCTGTGCCATCAAGATGGGAAAAAGGCATCATTTGTGTTTAGACAACGTTTTGTCTCAGAGTTATTGATCCTGGAAGTCTGAATCTGTGAATATCTTTCCAACTTCACCAAACTTTTTCGCACTGCTGCCATTTAAAAGCTCTCCGACACATGACACACAAAAACAATCACCTGGCTCTTTAAGTTTTCTGCACCAGCTACCGTGAGGCTTTTCATCTTTTCCAGCCTCTTCCGCCCAAGCCCAGCTTCCAATATCGTTGTTTCTTCTCCTAGATTGATATACCTAGCATCCATCGTTTGAAATTTTCTTTTAGCCGCTCGCTGATGTGTCTTTTTCTTCTTCCACTTCTTCTTCTTCTTCTTCTCTCTGGCAGGATGAACGCTATCCAGCATAATGCTGCCCTCTACGGGACATATTCAGCTCTAGCTAACTAGGTTTATTTATTTATTTTTTGAAGACCTCGTGTCGGAGGTCTTCAAGCCCTGACAGTAACATTGAACTATAGTTATAACTCAAACTCAGGGGTTCAGCTGGATGACTGTTTTGTCCCAGTCTACAAGCTCCATAGGATGCTCCATCTCTACAACAGCATGTGGTGGTGAACACAAAGACTGAACAATATGGACAAAATTTCGTACTTCGGTATTCATGCCAGATATCTCGATATCGATATGATATGATGTAACTATGGGTTCAGTGAAAATTGCACATTTTTCAGGAAAATAAAAACATCATAATACAAAAGGATGTGGAAAGTGCAGTTTCATTTAGAAGAACTCAGATTAAATCTATATGGTTGATATTGTGATTTTAATATCCTGAATGTTAAAATCTTGATGTGATTCCAATAACAATATATCTTTCGGCCCTGGTATGCATCTTTTCAGCTCCTCACTATTGGGCCATTGCCTGGTTTTGTCATGTAAAAAAACAACCAACAAATGCATTAGCAGAAAGCTAGCCTATTGTATGGCGGACAAAAAAGACTGACTTTTTACAGCCCCGTTCATACCTACAATACAACCGCTTTACTATTTTTTAATAATCCTTTTTTTCTATGTCAAGGTTTTTCTCACTACCAAGCTTCCTACAATGCATTTACTCTGTTCAATACAGAGGAATAGAAAATCTATCCTCAATGGCGTTATCTATAGGCTATAGTAGTCCAACTATGAGAAGAACTATTCAGTACAATTTCAGTTAGACAAACAAAATGATTTGATATTTTGAACAAAATGAGAGTACAAAGACTGGTAACTATTCCAGATTATGCGGATAATCCCTCTGTAAACACACAGAGAAAGAAATCAGCTTTATCCAACTCAACAGACTCTTGTACAGCTGCAGAGCTGCTAGACAGACAATCACACACTTTTTTTCAACACAGTGAGTTTAACTGCAACAGTTGCAAACCTCCGGTATAAGTGCTTCAGGTCCAGGAAAGACGAAATGCTGATGACAGAAGGTGCAAGCCTCTGCTCAAAGGACGCAGACACAGTGCATGCCCTTAAACTGCGACACCTTTGGGAACTCTCTGGGGCTTTCTTTAAGGTGCTATTGCCCATCTCTGTCCAAGTAGTCCTGCTTAGAGTTGCAGTAAATGGAATCTCCATCATGTTTGGTAGTACTAATTTGTGCTCAGCTAAGCTCTGAAGTTGTTGCTGTTGTCTCAAAGCTTGTGTTGCCGTTGTGCTGTGATGGAAATGAGAAACCAGGTGGCTCGCAGATGCAACGACATGGTTTATTTGTTGAAGCTTTAAGTCGTCATTGGAGTGAGTGCGCAAAACGTGGGTTTCAATTCAACACCTCATTGATGGCATGATCATACACACATGCTGTAACTGTGTGGAAAGCACATTTGTTTTCAGCCATATGCTGCTCTGGCATAAACTTTGTCTGCAGAACAGCACTTCATATTTTCCAGCTCAAAATGTAAACACAGTTCAGTGTAACATATGACTCAGTAGTTACCCAAGTGCTGTCCATGAATCTTAAACGAGTGCCAGGTTCACATGCATAGTCATCATAAAGGAGGGTCCGCATGGGACTCATTTTCAGCCTAGGAGTGCTACAGCTCAGACCAGCCCACATTAATTCACTATACCCATAAGGAAATCAAAAATGCCAATTATCAGATAATGTGTTGGATATGTTTTATTGTTATTTAGGAGAGTAAAGGGATAATCTTCTCTTCACATCAAAGTTATATTTTTCTTACCATAGTCCTTAAGAGGACCTAGAAATTATTAGTATAGTTTTGTATTATTTTCTAAGCAACCACTATACTGTGAGAGCTGATAACTTATACCTTATATTATATTATATAAGGTATTATAAACCTTATAATACTTAAAAATAACTATGTTCTAGGTGTTACTTTATTTTTTTATTGCTTTTGGGTGTATATGCACAGTGTCCTACTATTTTGAAATACAAAAAAAAAAAAAAAAACTCCCCACATCAGATAATTTGATTAGTCCCTGATAAATTTTTGTAAATATTACAATCAGATGAACTGGCTCACATTTGAGGAACCTTGTCTGTTTCTAATTTGCAAACATGTCAAATGAGAGTTCACTACAACAAAGTGTTAACTGGACCCAGCTTTATGGTAACCAATCTTTGTGACAGCAGACGGCACACAAAGCCATCACCTCACAAGTCAATGGCTCCACTATTGGCAGAATTGATGACAGTAAAGCAACTAGGAGCAGGCTACAATTGGAACATCTCTCTGTAAGTCCAGGATAAATCCACACTCCTTCAACCTCTAGCTCTCTCTCTGATGTATGCCTGTCCTCTGCTCTCCTTGGGTGCACATGGGAGTTATTTGAGCCTTTGTGGGAGCAGCAGGGAAGCAGCGCTGCCACACCGGCTCACTGTTGGATTACCCTCATTGCATGAGTCGTTGGCCTCTTTCCTCTCATGACGACACAGGGTCGAGTTCACAAGGGGGCTGATTTAACTCATTCACCGCAGTCTGCTGCCACTAGCCACATGCCTGCCAGCTCCGTAATGCTAACACAACACTAAGTGTAGCTGAATTAAGGAGACAAAATGCCTTGTTGACTTGATTCACAAAGATTACATTTTTTAGCGGGCGGATGATGAGTTGATTTCTGCCTAACACTCTACAGGGAGTTGATCCTGAAGAAATTTAGCTTGGAGCACTTTGGAGTTTATTCGAATCTACTGTAAAAGTGAATGTAATATTCTCTGTCTTGTGAGGAGTAAAATTTTAGTGCTTTTTTGAGTAAAAACGCAATCATTTAAGCAGTTGATGGAAATACTGAAGCTTAAAACCTCTTTATTTTAAAACTGATACATGATTCAAGTTCTTTCTAAGCTTAGGGGCCAAACATTTCAACGTTTACCTCAAAAAATGAAATTTACTTCTTTTCTACAGTATGCTTTCTGAGACATGAATGATAAAGGAAATAATGAAGAGAATCCGTAGGTGACCAAAAGAATACCTCTTCATAATGATGATCTGTCCATGGAGGCCAAAGTGGCGACCCATGTCTTATACACACTACACACAAGATAATCGGATTGATCTTATACCTGATTCCTCTCCTCCAACAAAAGTAGGAAGTTCCCAATTGGTAGATGGTTCTTGCCAGATTTTACTTTGGAGCGATGTCTGTTTATTTAATTTAAAGAAAGTTTTTTTTTCCCTTAACAACTCAGTTTAATGATATTTGCTTATTCTCTCTGTCTTTTTATAGATTTTGCAGCACATCCTGTCCTGAGTGTTGGGATTATTTGGTTTGTTTATGAACTCTTTGGGAGTTTTGGTCACATCATTAATGTTCACACACTAATGTAACAAATCAACTTGTCAAATATATAATTCTTTAGCTTCATGGTTAGGATCTTAAACATCTTTAGCAACTCAAGATTTAAAAAAAAAAATCTTTGCATGTGGCCCAGACATTAATAAAGACTGATAAACTCTAGCAAAAGTGAACTACTTCAGTTGTTTCTGGTGTAATGCTTGTGTATTACTCAGCTTTTTTCTGCAAGTCAAGAAATCCATTATAGTGTTGTTACACAGTCATGGTAAAGGTGTTACATGCATCAAAAATCTCTCATTTGATCTTGAATATCCCCCAATAAAGTAAGATACAGACAATGATCTGGACTTTTACTTACAACAACAAAAAAACACTCAAAAACAATTACTTTCCTTCAATCTTGTGCTGCTAAAAACTCCTAATTACTTGAGGATTATCTCTCTCGTTACAGGGTATGTTGTCACTGAACTCAAGACAGAAAAAACACAAAGCTTATCCTGCTTTTTCCCAAGAGACTCCACAATAATACACACAAAGAACCTACTGACCCTTGAAACCTTCTTATAGTCAGTGTGAGGATGTCGTGTTTTTATTGGCTGTGTTTCCAAAGTGCTCCAATTGCTGTATGCAGCCAGTACAGCAAAATGTCTCCGGCCTCTCGAGCTGAGGCATCCCATCATCTGAACAGAAGCATCCCACTGACGTCTCAGGAGACGCAACTTGAGTAATGTTCTCACATTAAAAGGGCAAGCATGGGATACTCTTTGCATCAGGTCTATTAATTCAAGACCCTGCAGAGGTCTGGCTGCACATAATCATTGACGTGGTTTTAGATTAACACAGAAAATATTAAATTATTTGAATTACTCTTGTTGGGGTTTTGGTTTCTTTTAGGATTATTTATTGTCAAAAAAAAAGCTGCCAATGATCTGTTGATTTTAAACTTTATCCGACATAAAACATGCCCTCGCGCAACATATTTGTGTTTCTTAAGACACTACTTCACAGTTTCAGTCAAGGGACAATAAGAACATTTAGAAAGGGTGTGAAAAAGTCTGCTTCCTGTGGCAAAAGGGAATGAACTATGGCAGACTGGAGATTGTGAATAGGCCTTTTACAGGTCAAAGAATCTATTCAGTCCACTGACATTGTTATTATCTGACCGTCATAGATGGGCCTAATTAATATTCTAATCATAGGCCTGGGGAACATTGTAAACAAAATTATCCACTGAGTACCATTTGCCTACTCAGACTCTAGTTGACTCTGTTAGTGAGAAATAACAGCTCTGCAGAAAATGAACACTTAGGAAACACCAACTAGAAGCCAGACGCCGTCCTTTCTCATGGTTCAATGTCTCTTTTTTATCTTTGATTAGTAGAAAGTGCATCAAAGTAAGGAAGAATAAATGAAGAGGACATAATGGATTTTAGTGTGATATGGAAGAATTGAGTATCACTTTATTAAATCTGCTGTGGGGAGTTTTTGATCATGGAAACAGACTGAAATGAATATGAGGCATACAATGTACAAAAGCAAATGAGACAATTTCCATACAGTAATTTTAATGTCTGTATCTGCTGTGAGTGGGTAGG